GTTAGTTGATGTAATTCTATTTCTAAGAACAAAAACAATTTAGAAAAGGAACGATCAAAGATTGAAGCCCGAAGGCAAAAGAACCCATTATGTATAGATTGAATGAGTGCCTGTGCAAGATACAAACTACTAATTGACATTCAGTAATACAATCAGCCGTAGGATAGACAGAACACTCCAATTCACGCGCTATAAAGTTTATCCATGCACTAAAGCGGCTTTTTCTGAAGTACAAATATAATGCATGGGCGTTGGATCGGCAAGAAGTCACGATGCTTTAGCCTCAATGGCCACTTCTCAAGGTTTAAACAACTTTACAATCAAACCCATTCAACAATCTACAGTAAAACTCTTTGTTCTAAACATGTGGCTGTGTCTCCATCTCCTGCTACCCCTTTCTCAAGGATTCTGTCCTCCAGTCAACCTGGAAACCTCGCATCATTCTAAAAGATTTGTCAAAAGAAAAAGATTCATGCGAAAGAGCAAGAAAACGTTATTGTGACTGTAAAAGTCGAGACATTTTTGGAAAACCAAACCCATTGACATGGCTTTCTTTAGACACTCCACGTTCCTATTAACTTCTTTTTGTGGAAAGAGTCCTATGAGTATGACTACAAAAAGTCATTGCCGGTTTTTTGACCATAACCACAAGGTTCAAACTTCAAACTGGAGCAGATTCTTTAAATCAGCTGAGGTTAATTAATTCAAAGCAGACTGACAAAAATACTTGCTTCCTGCCAGCATTACATGACTCCTGGAAGTATCCCATGTCTCAACTGTTAAAACTTAGCAGACTTGAAATAAAAATTCGCAAAGTAGAGATGTCATGCACAGTCTATTTTGCAAGTAATAACAAAAAGGTTAAAGGAGAGATCTTTGGAGAATTTTATCCTATCCTCCTAATTTCTGATTCCACTCAAATAACTACATATATAGCAAAAGGCACCTGTCCTCCAAGGAAGTAGTAGTACCAATTGTCTAACCCTTTGTCTCTTTTTTTTTTTTTCCTGGTTTATAAACACTAGTCATTGAAGCTGATGAGACTTTGATTTCATGATTGATTAAGGTTGAGTCCCCTCAAACACAAAGATTTTAAATTCAAATCCCCTTTCCTCCTCCTCCTCACATCTTAAATCCCACGCCTTTCCTATTAGAAAAAAGTCCAAACAAAAAAAAAGGTCATTGAAGCTAATTATCTGCAAGATGAGCATTCATGCATGATTCAACAATACACATTTGGATGGAAAACGTTTTCTTGAACACCAAGGTTGATGCCTGTGGGTGGCTTTCATGTGATGATGTCTAGAAAAGGCAAACAAACAGTCCCTTTTCTTGAAACCCTAAGTTTGAAAACAAAAAATCTCTAAAAAACCAAAAGTAACATTGATCAACTCGCTAGCTCCATGTGCCTTAAAATGTGGATGCAAACTAACAATGGCAAAACCATAAAAAAGCTTTGTTTTCCGTACCGAGGGGGGTACAAATCCTTAGACAGTTGATACTTTGAAAGTTAAAACAAGGAAAAGCACACAGCCACCGCCAGTAAGTTCATGCTAATCCCCATTCTCTTGTCTCTTTAACGGAAAAGCAATTGTCACTTCTCAGTAGTTAAACATTTGAAAACGAAAAAGGAATACTTGCTTACCCCTGTTTTAGTCAAAATTGGTCTTACTTGGAACTTGAAATCTAAAAAATAAAAAAATAAAAAACTAAGGAAAAACAAAGTGTGATTATTCTTGTGTTTAGACTATAATGAAACGACACATTACATGTACTTTGACCGGAGGGGAGCCAAATTTTCTTATTGTAGTCCTATTTATAACTTGGAGATTTCACTATCTTTGTTGCATGGGAGAAAATATAAAAACAAAAGTGTTCTTTTCACATTTTTGCCTTCAAAAGCCACCAATTAAAAGTTAAAACATTTCTACCGAGAGCAAATTTCTCAATGTCGATTATTCAAGTTTTGGTTACTCAACCACAATTTGGAAAAGGACCGAAAGTGTTTTCTTGTGGTTTAGATTTGTGCGAACCGACGAATGAGCATGGCACTTTGCACCGGATGTGATTTATATATTCTTACTTTTGTCCTTTTCAATACTTGGAAACCTTTGATTTCGGCTTCATTGCGTGAGAGAAAATTAGAAAACAAAAGTGCTACTTTTACATTTTTTGCTTCAGAAAAAACCCTCAATGTTTATTCACATTGTGGCTAACTAACCATAGGACAAGATTGATGATTTACCACGGTCACAATTTTAATGTCATACCAAATTTTTTCTCATATTACCATCACGTGCCAATTGTAATCCAAGACTATTGGCATATCAAATCAAGGATCAGAAATTTCTAAATTATTACTTAGTTGTATTTTAATCAAGTTAAGGTTTTAATAACGTTATTGGAATCAAGTTATGGTTGTTTTATTATTTAAAAATAAATATTTTTTAGAAAATTTCTCGCGATTATAAAACTTATTTACCAAGTCCTATAGGGAGTCCCTATTCTAGTCATCAGTTGAAAAGAATGACAGTTTGATAGATTTGTTATTATGGTATTATTGATATTTTATCGTTGATTGTTCCTCTTCTTTTAAACATATTCTTATATGTATAAATTGCCCTTGACTATATCTTTTTGGTGAAATATTTTGGCATCTACAGAGACTAGAAAAGTTAATTGAAAGAGTAAATTCGATAATTAACACCAAGATTACTCTAACATTAAAATTTTACGTAAGAAAATTTCTCCGGTGATGTGCCCACAATTTCCTATGTTGATGGAAGTGTGAAAATAAGGGATTCCGGCATAACGTGTCCAGACCAGTGGACATCGCAGGCGGACGAGTTTGAGTTGAAACTTGAAAAATGACACAAAAATCAAGGGCCACCCACTGATTTAAAGTTGGAGAGCTCGCCCTCGTGTTCGTAAACATAACTGTAAAGTTAAAACTGTTGTTTTAGATGATAGTTAATTACTACTTAATAATAATCATCATGTGGCTGGTGATTCGATGCATTTTAGTTTACCACCTGCCTGCCCATGCATGTTCTTCAACGTTTCGATCTTCGTAATTACTCTGTTAAATGCAGAGTTCCCAATCACCAGGTTTTTGTTTTTTACTAGTATTTGAATAATGGTAACTATCATGCTAGTGTATTCTGCAGTCAAAGGAGGAATTTCAATATTTTATTCGGTTTTCTTGTATGAGAAAAATAAAGAATTCTTTAGAGATTCATGTTCTATTCTATAACAGAAACGGTATAGTGTGAATTTTTTTTGGTCAATATATAATGTGAATCATTTGAACAGGGCATTTCTACTTGGATAGATTTTTCCTTATTTTCCTTCTTTTTTTAATTCGGGGTAGAGTGCTTTCACTTAAAATCTAAGTGTTCAATGGACCTTTGTTAAAATAGAATGTAAGCGTTAATATTTTCAAAAAATAGCATTAAGTTAAGAAAGTATATAAACAGAAAGAAGACAAAAATTGAAAGTGTGTATATTATGCAATATATGTGTTACGAGTAATTTTAGTATGTCAAGTAGACACTCCCACGATTTCAGAATCGATGATTCCAATTCTTTTGAAAGATGTAATTTAAACCGACCCTTATTGAGATGATTAGGGTTACGGTTCTTGAATTTTCGATTTCAGTTATGGTTTCGGTTTCTTCTGATTACGGTTCCAGTCCTTTTATTTATGTTTAAAAACATGTTGTTATAAATTTATTCTAAGAAAATATGACAATGAATGTTAAAAATTTTTTTTATTCTATTATCACGTGCAAGGAAAAAGAAAAGATGATGCAAAATTTGTGAAAAAGTATCTCATTGTTGATTAGATTAGATTAGTCTTGGATTTAAATTAGTTATGAGGTATAAATTTACTAATGAAATGGGACAAAGGATTGTTGGGTTAGAATTGAAGTTGCCAGTATTAGATGCTGACTATTGATATTAAATTCTAAATTGGCTAAATAGATATAAGTAGCAAATGTTTTTTTTAGATGATTTGAATTGATCATAAACCATCAGTTCCGATTCCCAATTTAAAATTTTGGTAAATTTGAACTTAAATCTTTAGTCACAGTTATGGTTCCGGTTCCAATTTCTAAAATCCAATTTCAATTCCGGTTCAATAAAGCGCCAAAATAATTTCGATCCGATTCCAGTTCAAACTTAAACGGTGGCCACCTCTAAAACTAATGCCCTTAAAATAAACCTTCCACTTATGTTGTACACATGGATTGCTTTATTCCATGGAGTGATGGTTGAAGTAAATTTCTATAGGTATTTCAATTGCTGTACAAATAACAAATATTCTTTAACAACTTAAACCCTCATTTCCCATGGATGTGTTACAAGACATTTACCAACTTCTCCTTGTTATAATCATGAGAATTCTACGGAAACTTTCATTAGACCGTTTTATTGGTGTCTTATTTGTTGCGAGTTGTAGTTCAAAATTATGTTATTCCTATTTGTCATCCTGTAATTTAGTTGTCACTCTATGTTAGTTGTGATACTCTTGTTACCACACTAATACTCCACAAAAAAAAAAGAAAAAATAATTTAATTATTTGCTTTCGATAATGAGAGCCTTTAGCTATATTCAATCAAATTAAAATTTAACTGAAAAAAAGGGAAAATAAAAGAAGATTCTTGGCCACCAAGAACGATCTTTGTCATGCATGCATGGCGGCAGACAGGCCCGAAACACCCGTATCTTCCATTTCACGGGTCTTTCATCTAATATTGTGACTCAACAAAGAGAACCATATTCAACCTTTTAACTGTAACTTTGGATACTGCAGTCTTTAGTTTATAAATTTGAGTTTCCCTAAGCACCGGTTCCTCTGAGTAACTACATTGTTTTTTAACCACGAAAAAAAAAAAGGTGCTTGTTGGAACCTTATCTTTGACTTGGTTTGGACCTCGGACTGTCTATAAAGCCAGAGTTCTTTCACATGCTTCCTCTCCGTTCTTTTTGCTCATCGACAACATCCAAAAAGCTAGAAAAGAAACAAGAAATGGTGTCAACAAGTTTCAGGCATTTTGTGCTTGCAATCATGGTCCTTCTGCTAGCCACGAAGGCTTGTGATGCAAATAGTAATGAAGGTATTTTTCCTCCTTGCCCTTCATTAATCTAATTTCCATTTATCAAGCTCTCTTGCACAAGAAAGTTTACGCATTTTTTTTTTTCACCTTTTTTTGGCACTTTATAGGTTTCAAGAAAGTTGAAGCTGAAGCTGGAAATGGAATTATGCCGCCAGGAGGAAAAGAAATGCACAATGCAAAGGTAATTATTATACTAGAAATTGTTTTATGTCCAAATTTGGTTACTTGTTTAATTGTCTACAAAAAAATTTGGGTTTGGAACTTGTTGAACTTAGGATTCTATCATAATCTTTTTCAGGAAATTTACAACGCTGGTCCCAGAGTTGCTGCAGATACTAGTGGTAAATTTGGAGGAAGAAAAATGATGCTTGAGATAAAGGGATTGAGTAATGAAGTGAAGCAAGAGGAAAGCAAGAAGACCAGTGAAGAAGCTTCAAAGATTTCAGGTGCAAGTTCTGTTGGAAATAGTAAGCATACATGGAAGGGGAAGTTGAACATGCAAAGTAAATTGAGTAGTAGAAGTGTCAATCATCATTTGAAGGTTAACATGGGTGGTTTTATGGCTCTCAATGCCGATTATCATATGGCAAAAACGCATCCACCTAGGAATAACTGAGGATACTGAAGATACTGAGGATAGGGAAATTTTGCCTTTTATCCCCCTCATGTTCCAATTTTGTTGACAAATTAGTAGATGCAGTACCGATAGGAAATGGAAGTATACTTGTATGTATTTGCCAATAGAATTAATTTAACCCCTTCTCAAATTAATGAATTTTTTCTTCTCCTTTGCAAGATAATTCTTGTTGCACTTATGAAATGATAAAGGTTATCTCCAGCCTCTTTATTTCCTTGTAAACTCATGAATGGATCTTATATACTTAATTGCTTTCTTGAATGATACTAAGGGGTAGAAATGGATGTCTTGATTGTCACTGCCACTGTGTGTGCCTCAATCTTACAAAGCAAAACATACAAAAAACAACAATAAAGGCATCACATGACTGCTTATCTATGCACCAAGTAGTATACAAGATGCATGTAGAGCTAAAAAGAGTTACCTATATTCAGCTGAAGTAGCTGTCTTGTTGTCTGCAGGAAGAAATGACAGGAGCAAAAACTTAAAGAAGTCGGCTGAGCGTTCTTTACCACAATCTTATAACCAGGTTTCAATCCTTCCATCGTGCAGTATAAAATCATCCATGGTTTTGTGTTCTCTATATCTACGAACGATGCTCGTCTTCTTTTTCACATGAACTTCTTTGCAGTATGACAGAAGACATTTGAAGGCCAATTCCAAGAATGAAGCAAGCTCAGAGACTGCAGTGAAAAGGCCAAGTGATCTCCCAAAACCTGACCAACTCTGCTCCCAAGAATGTGCAACTGACTCAAATAGTTGCAGCTCAAAATGCTCATCAGTATCTAAAAGTTCAGTTTCAAAGAAATCAGATCAAGATCAAGATTCTGAAAATCTTGACTCTGAAAAACTGCTGAAGGCTGCAAGTCAGATTGTAAATTTGATGAATAAAGACTACCGAGGAGATGGAGGTCCTCGTCACAGATCCCCAATTAATAATCGTGAGCCTTTGCATTGAGGAATACTAGTGTCAGTGTAACAATATGCCATAGATTGGCTATGTGCATCATCTATACACAACTAACCCAGTTTTGTTTAGCTAATCTAGGGGACAAATACGTAGAAGGATATATTATTGTTTTGTTTTTTATACCATGTAACCAAGGATAGAGTAGTAACTCTCAGTACCAGTTTTAGACATGAAATGGTGTTTTAGCTTCTTTTTTTTTCTGCCTTTGTATCCTTATCAGTAACGCAAAAGGTGGTATGTGTCTGAAAAGTTTTATCAATTGTAGCATCTGGAATTTGGGGTGACCCCAGTTGCAAATTATAATTCTGCTGAAAAATTTGCAGAAACTAAAGAGACATCAAGCAAAGCAGCAATGAAGATAGTAACAGAATATATATATATATATATACAGGAATAGACATCTGTCTTTCACTCCTACTTTACATATAGTTCAAGTAGGAGAAGCCCTATCAGCAATTGAAGATGCCAGTTAGACATTTCTGTTGGAACCATAAAAAGCTATCCACTCAAAAATTGCATGGCTGTAACAGATCAATAATTCAAAACCAACCTGCTGCTTTTAAGTATTGACATGCTTCGGCCTTCGTGAAATGTTTGCAATAGTCAAAGTTTCTCCAGCATGAACCATTTGAGACTAGATGAAATCCTGAGGAATAAGAGCAATATCCATACGAATATCATGACCATGTCATGAAAATCCCTATGAAGTTTCAGCTTTTTGAACAATTCCTCTAAATGTGACTTGAACAAACTTTACAACTCTGCCTGAACCCATGGTTTTCATGATTTGTTCTGTTATAACTGTATTAGAACTTAGAAGAGGGATATGAAGAATCACTATCCAAAGTAGTCATCCTGTCCGATTTTGTTGTGCTGTTTGAATATTTCTCTTTGCGTTGCAACATCAGAACCCTACATGGCTAGATCCCTTTTACTGCCACAGCTAAGTACTTTTTTGGCCACGTCTAGGATAGGTATTGTGTGCCCTGGCATAGGCACGGGAAAGAGGAAATGATGTTCTCCATCGCCTTTGTAGTGGTATCCCTTTTCCAAGATATGGTGGGAATAGCTATGTTGTATCCAGTAGAGAGATTGCCTTTTGTTGTGGGGCAAATTTTTCTAAAGGATAGTGCTTATACACGAAGTTATTCAAAGATTGATTTCCTAACATTCATGAAGGCCTAAGCACCTTTTTACATGAAAGCAGGTGCATTGCTATTCAATTTTTGGTGTAAGGAGCTGATGTGATCCACACGGGCTAGGTCTCACAGTTTCAACCGGCACGGCATATCTTTGTTATCTTCAATTGCAGACAGGACCTTACTTGAACTGCATAATTTCCCTTTCAAAGAAAATTATCTGTTCCAAGATGCTGTTACTAATGCATTGCTGCATTGCATGATCTCATTCCTGGTAAGGGGAGATGCTCTTCTGGTCTCTTCAGTTTCTATGATGTTGCCACAGAATTACGAGCAGCAATCTGGGGTCAGTCTACATACATACCAGTTGCTACGGTTGACAACTTCTCATGAAGCATACAGACTTTTGCTTTACTGGATTGCAGGTTTCTCCTGATTCAATTCCAACAAATTAAAGTGAATCACGTTTACCCTGAAGCTAATGGAAGTCCTGATCTTGTGGCAAAAATGGGCATCACATTTCAAGCTGCTTTTGTAATATCTAGTTGTTGCCCTTCGGATTTATGTAATGTGTTGGATGAAGCCTTTAGGGGTGTTCATTACTGACTCTCGGATAGGATATAAAAATGGGACGAAGGGAGCATTTTTTTTTTTTAATCATATCTTGGTATAAAAACAACAAAGACAAAACAAAGGTCAAAAAACTTTGGCCATAATGAAGAAATATCGACTGTGTTTGTGTTTGGACAAGAGTTTATTGAAAATATATTCGATGTATATGAAACAAAAAAAAATTATTAAAAACATAAAAGATATATTTAAAAATATAACTGTGATGCAAGTAAAAATTTTTTGTGTAAATGGAGCTTGTCCCAATACACCCTATCCCATTTCTAAATCCAAAAAAAAAAAATAGAAAAGGAAAACAGGGGTGGTCTTTATCCCTTGACAAAGTCTCACGCACCCACCGGAGTTATCAATGGCGTGTGCTGACTGTGCTCTCGTAGAGCGTAAGGCATGACGACGTTAATTGTTGAGACTGGATCATAAAGCCTACAAGTTGCCCTCTTCTTCCGCCCCAATACCTAAAGGATATCTATTTGTCGTCTCCGGAGCGACCTCAACATATCCACATCATTTAACCCCAAATCGGCAAAATACTACTAAGCTAAGCTTCAAGAGGGAGATGTCCATCTCACCCAACCAAAGCCCCCATGTTCTCCTCTTTCCCTATCCTACCGCAGGCCATGTTATCCCCCTTCTTGATTTGGCCAACTTGCTCCTCACCAAGGGCCTAACCATCACCATTTTAGTCACACCACCTAATCTTCCCCTACTAGATCCCCTCCTCTCTACTCATCCTTCCACTTCTATACAGCGCTTGGTTCTCTCTTTGCCAGAACTCGTTAATTCCTCAGGCGTCAACTTCGCTACTCGACTTCGGGCGACTGCCCAACTCCATGACACCGTCCTTGAGTGGTTCCAATCCCAGCAATCACCCCCAGTTGCTATCATATCTGATTTCTTCCTAGGTTGGACCCATCACCTTGCAGCTCAGCTCGGCGTGCCCCGCGTCGTATTTTGGCCATCGGGTGCCCATCATGCTTTAATCTTGCACCATCTGTGGCATAACCTGTCGGAAAAAATCAGCTCCATGAATGAAGATTCTATGATTTCCTTCCCCAGTCTTCCAAATTCACCGGCGTATCCTCTCTGGCAAGTCGCCGAACTTATCACTCAATCCAAACCAGGAGAGCCCGACTGGGAATTCTTCAGGGATAATTTCTTGTCCAATGCAAGAAGTTGGGGCATAATTATCAATTCCTTCAGGGATCTGGAAGACACTTGCATAAACCTGGTGAAAACGGAAATTTGTCACGACGAGGTTTGGGCGATTGGGCCGCTGGTCTTGTCTTCTTCTGCTTCTACTGCTGCTGCTACGGGTGACACGTCAGCATTGTCGAACCGTGGTGGGTCCAGTGCGGTCCCACTCGACGAGGTGATGACTTGGCTTGATGACAAGGCGGATGACTCAGTTGTCTACGTGTGCTTCGGGAGTCGTGAGGTATTGACGAGTCAGCAAACGGATGCCTTGGCGGCTGCACTCGAGTGTAGTGGAGTCCATTTCATATGGTGCGCGAGGGAAGCACCGCAGAATAAAGGCCAAGTGTCGGGTGATGATCAGACCAGTGCATTATTGACTATGGAGTATGAAGATCGGGTGGCTGGGAAGGGGTTGATAATCAGAGGCTGGGCTCCACAGGTGGCAATCCTCCAACACAGAGCAGTTGGTGCTTTCTTGACGCACTGTGGGTGGAATTCAGTGTTGGAAGGTGTAGCTGCAGGGGTGGTCTTGCTTACGTGGCCAATTGGTGCTGACCAATTTGCAAATGCTGGACTGTTGGTCGATGAGCTTGGTTTAGCAATTCCTACATGTTTGGGTGGACCGAAGGTGGTTCCAGACTCGACCAAATTGGCTCAAGTTTTTGTGGGATCGGTGAGTGTGGATGGTCAGCCCAAGAGGGCTAAAGTGGTAGAGATGAGGGATGCTGCCTCAAGAGCAGTCCAAAATGGAGGAAGCTCGAGTAAAGATTTGGATGATTTAGTCAAGCATTTGAGGGACCTTAAGCAGGAAAAATCATGATTGATTGTTTCTTCAGAACATAAATCTAATGAGGGATGAGGTGCTCTAACATGACGTGTAGAAAAAAGGAAAAATAAAGTGCTTAGCATGGTTCTTGAAATATGCATATTCGAATCTTGAGCATTAAATCCAACCTCTCATATCGTAGTTCTGCATTTGCCATGTTGTCAACCCCATTTCACAGTACCGCAAGGTCGTGCCTGAAACGCAAATTATGAGCTAGTACAAATCAAACACAATCGAGCGGGTTTAATTTGAACTCAATCAATCAAGTTTAGTCGAGTCTAATCAAGTTTAAAATTTTTAAATTTATATAATTTTAAATGAGGGACAAAGTACACATTTTATATTACTATGTGTGCTCGTGTGTTAGAAGCTCGATTGAACGTGATAAACTCTCGAGTTTCACATATTAAATTTAAATTCGACTCATCAAACAGTTTTTCAAACTGTTTAAACTCAGGCTCAAATTTGATCACGCGAGTTTAAGATAGAGCAAACTCGTTAGTTATTCGATTAAAATCGACTCGTATGGTTAGCCGCGCATAGGGACTCAAAGAGAACTTTACTCTCGGAAAACGAAAATAAAAAAAAAAAACAAACAAAGTACTCCATTATTGGAGTCACCGGAGATGGGAGGACACGACTTGAAGTTGAAGGAAGTCCATGACTAATTTGCAGGAGAAAACCTTCCAATAAAAGAAGGGATTGACCAGTAACGGATGCTTTCCGTTTGTGGGAGTTCGGAGTATATCGTCGCTTCGGGCATAGCCCTGCTAATTACTGGTACTAATAAAGTTTGGTTGATAACGTGAAAAAAAAAATGCAGAACTCCAATTCATGAAGTTGGTTTTAAATCTTAATGCGGAAGATTTGACTTCACCTAACTCACTCACCACTTGAAGTCTGAACGCATGCAGTGCCTTTTCTTGAATGGTCCTCCCCTTATCAATTATTCTTTCATGATTCTTGGCCAACTACCCAATACCTTTCAAACAAAATGTACGTAGGAATGCAAGTCCATGTGCAGATTGTACCATTCCATTTTAAAATGAATGCCGGGGATTGAATTTTGTCGGTCAACCGCACCTACACAAATGTCCTTTGAACTCAATTTATTGTTCCAATTCATATAAAATAGCACAGCCAAACCTTCACTATCTATCTATCGTAGATAGTGTCTATAGTAACTACTATTGATGAATCCCATGCATTACATTAGGCTTGCAAAGACATGAATGATAATATTATTTTTTTTTAGGTATAATCCACTGGTGTTCGCATTCGTTTTACGGTCTGCAACTAATTCTGTTCGAACTGCGTTGAACCCTTTGCAGGAGAAAGCTCTCCCAATGAATTTCGAACTCGAAATCTCATGGTG